TTACTTGAAACAAGAATGAAATATTAAGAAAAAAGCCTAAAAGAACGAAATCATACGCATTCACAGATTTTTTAAAGCATATTTTTGTATTAAATATAATAACGCTCTTGTCCAAAATGTTTTATTAGTCTTAATTAAAGTATTTGAATGACATGATTACTGATAGACTTCTGACTAGTGAAGATATATGACTTGACAACTGATCGACTATTAAATTAACTAGTGAAGATAAATGACTTGACTACTCATCGACTACTATTAACTAGTGAAGGTATATGACGTGACTACTGATTCACTATTAACTAGTGAAGGTATATGACGTGACTACTGATTCCCTATTAAATAGTGAAGGTATATGATTTGACTACTGATCGACTATTAAATAGTGAAGGTATATGATTTGACTAATGATCCACTATTAACTAGTGAAGGTATATGATTTGACTACTGATCGACTTTTAACTAGTGAAGATATATTACTTGACTACTGATCGACTATTAAATTAACTAGTTATGATACATGACTTGAATACTGATCGACTATTAAATTAACTAGTGAAGATACATGACTTGACTACTCATCGACTACTATTATCTAGTGAAGGTATATGATTTGACTACTAATTCACTATTAACTAGTGAAGATACATGACTTGACTACTGATCGACTATTAACTGAAGAAAATGATAAGAAAGCACAACAGTTCTGAAGACAATCAAAAGTTTACTTACTTCCGTTTTCATGTTTAGTCCATTTTTCAGCTATTATATTTTTGACAACTTTTATCTGCTCCAGGGGCGGATACAGGATTTAAGTGAGGGGGTACTCGATTTATTTCGGAACAAAAAAAATCCAAAAGACGCGCGCGCTGAAAATCCTTGACCTAGAAGGGATTGTGATGGCATACCCCCCCCCCCCTGAGTCAGAGAGCTTTTGGACACCTCCCTAGTTTCATGGAACTAAATTGTAGGTGACGCGCTTTTAATGAAAAGTGGAAAGAGACAACAATACGAGTCGCTTAATGTTGTTAAATTCGAGACCGAATCGTTGTTAAACTGTTAAACTGTTAAACAAACTGATTTTTTTTCGCGAAATTTCGCTTTAATTTGTTTCCCGAAAAAATGCGACCTTTTCACAAAATAAGAAATGCGAAAATTTCGCAAAAAAAATGCAAATATCATTCATAAAATTTGTACTTTAACTCTTCACAATACAAACTGTTTGATTAACGCAAGCCTTCGATTGAATGAGGAATTGTAAATTGCGAAAAAGAGACGACATTTACCTACATTGGAGCACATCCATAGTATCTAACCTAATATACAACCTTGGTTAGACTGCTTACTTTTTGGATTACATTGCCGGCCACATAGATCCAGACTGTTGTGAATATTTGCATCAATTATCAAGACTGGATCGATTTTGAAATTTGAAGTGTCGCAACGCCATGGTATTTTTATTTTAACTCACTTCTATTTGTTTTGTAGTCCTAGTCATGTAAATTTAAGAACTCTATATGCATTTGTTTATGAGACGCAATTAGCAAAGTGCTCTGAGGATTTTGCGTGAGCTTGCAACCTTTGGATTACTGTGATCCAACTGATTTAAGAGAGGCAGAGTAATAAACTTCTCTGGGAAATAATGGGTATTAACTCCGGTATTTCAAGAGGCTCAGTTCGGATCGCTTTCTTACAATGAACATAGTTGATTTATCAGTGGTTCTAGGTTTTATTATGGCAATTTTTTCTGGAGTTCATTCGGAATATTATCCAGACCCAAGGTAAGGGTTACCCATAACGATTGAAAAGATGCGACTGTAAAGACGACCTTGAAGGCTTGAAGGTTTTATATGTTCTGTCTTGCATTTAGTATTTAAATGATATATTTAATAATTTGGGCCAAAAAACCAAGTTATCAGTTGCAAAGGAATCATAAAACAAGAACAAAGACTAGGTCAATTCCGTGCAGTTGTCTCTTAAGTCTCATTTTTTGTGGGTAACCCTAATATTCTTTTAGATCTATTTTGAAGACAGTGAGAACCATAAATATGTGGAATAATACAATGACTGTTAGATTAAAGTTATGATCTAAACATAGAACACTAATTTAACTTTTTATTGATTTCCCAGCTCTCGGTAAAACTATTTGACTTATAACAAGTTAAAATACACATAATATTGCTTAATGTTGTTTATGGGGTTTATTATAGACTTCACTTGCGATATTTTATTATTTTAGATCGCAATAATGAGCCAGAGTTTTCGGCAATTTAGAAAAAATTGATATTAATATTAAGTTTTGAGTTTAAAAGATACAATCATCTCAAGTCTCTCAAGGGTTTCACTTCCGATTTCACTCGCGATATTGCATCGCAATAATGAGCCCGAGTTCTCGACCATTTTTAACAGATTGATATTAGTATTCGGTTTTGAATATAAAAGACGCAACATTTTTTTGGGTTTCAATTCATATTTCACTCGAGATTTTACATCACAATAATGAGCATGAGTTTTTGACGATTTCGAACAAATTGATATTAATATTCGGTTTTGAGTTTAAAAGACACAATAATTTCAAGGGTTTCACTTCCGATATTTCATCGCAATAATGAGCCCGAGTTTTTGACCATTTTAAACAGGTTGATATTAAAATTCGGTTTTGAATATATAAGACACAACAATTTTAAGGGTTTCAATTCAGATTTCACTAGCCATATTAAACATCGCTTTAATAATACTCGAGTGTTCGGCTATTTTAAACAGATTCCTTTTAATATTTGGTTTTGTGCTGCAGGATTTGAACAGGTTATTGGTTAGACTGACCAGATTAAATGAATAGCGCGATATGGTTGAACCGATTAGACTTGGTTTAACCAGTTTAGAGAAGTGGTTGAACTACAGGTTTACCCACAAAGAATAAGACTGTAAAGACAACCTGAAGCTCTAATTTGAAGACTCCGAGGTTAAATAAAGTCTTCTGCCTTCAATATAATCTTTTAATGGCTTTAGGGTTTCCAACGTAATAGATTATTCTCTTACGCTTGATTACGTGCAGTTACGCGTAATAATTTTCATTTCGTGTAATTTCGCAGGATTACGCGTAATTGGGGAAATATCCATTTCGCGAAATTACTGCGAAATTTCTGCAACGTAATTTCGCGAAATTAAGTAATGATTACGCGTAATAAGCGAAACTATAATTACGCGTAATTTCTACAACGTAATTTTGCGAAATTTCGTAATGATTACCCGTAATAAGCGAAACTATAATTACGCGTAATTACGGTGTAATTTCGCGTAGTATCTATGAGGTAATTTTGCGAATAATCAGAGAAACTTTAATTTCGCGAAATTTTGCAATAATTACATCTATGAGATTTTGAAGATTTAATTTTTAATTTAAATAAAACAACCAATTTACAAGGAAAATAATGTCACGCAAGTTGAATCAGAAATTTCAGCCAATACTATGTTGATGTAATTTTTACGTTCGACAACTAAAAAGTTTAACAAAGGGCCAACAATTTATTTTTATCAAAAAAATACATAATCTATAAAGGAATTGAGTCTTTTCCACTAGCTCAACTTTTCTAATCCTTATATCTTAGGAACCTAATGGTGGAAACCTTTTATATTTCAAACTTTGATTATTTAATCTAACAGAATTCATAGTTTAAAATATCTAAGGTCTACGGCATTGGGTTGCAAAAATATAGGGATTAGAAAATAAAATTTTGTGGCAAAGACTCAATTCCTTTTTCAATTTTTGATGACTTGTAAATATTTCAACCTACTTTCTCAAGTTTATCTTCCTTGTTTGAAAAAAATGTAAAATCGTCAAAATATGTTTCGACATGGTTGTAGCGGGTTTTACGATACTTTCCCGCTATAAATATTTCTGAGAATTAATATGTACTTTATTTATTACGGAATTGTTTCGTATTACGTAATTTCGCGTAATTACGCATTAATTCCGCGAAACTCGACTTTCTTTCGTAAACGTAATAAACGCGTAATTACGCGTAATGCTCCTGCGTAAGTGAAAGAAAGTGTTACGCGTAATTACGACTGGAAACCCTAAATGGCTTATTCACTGATCAGACAAAAAAAGTTAAGATAAATCATAAATATAAGGAAACAGATAGTATGAATTCTGTACAACCGTTTCTCATCCTTTGTGGGTAACCCTGCACTTATCCAAGCTGTAATGCCAAAATACGGACACAACACTCATGATACCTTTTATTTTCGACATAAATTTTGTTTGCCTTAAACAATTTTTTTTATGATTTAAAAAAAAATTTCCTTTTAGTCTCGAAAATCTCAATTTAGAGCCAAGCACGATCAATGCAGGACACCCAGTATATACTTTTTCCGCATATCCCTATCTTGCAAATTTTAAAATATCATAGATAAACAAAATATTTAATTATTAAATGCAATTCCTTGAAATAGTAGAACACCAGTATTAAAATCCAACAATTCTGCAAATACTTAACAACACATGCACAATTCACTTAAATATCATATTTAGGGTTACTTTACAAAACAATTATTATTTTGCTAAATTCAAAGTTTAAGGTGTAATTTCGTAATTTCGAATGAATCTTTATTAGCCGCGTAGTGAATCGGATACAAGATAAATGAAAAATATAGAATAATAACTCATTTAACCTTTTGGAAATAAAGGGCGTACACAGAAATCAATCTAGGGGGAGGGGGCCAAATAAGCGCAAAGTGGAAAATGTGTGTTGCCATACTCCCTCTTGGATCACCTAAAGGGGGNAAAGTTTCTCTAAAAAGTAGTCCTTTAAAAATAAACTAAGTTTATTATTGGCGAACACTCCCTTTAAAAATGAATTATATTATTGGCGAACACTCCCTTTAAAAATGAATTATATTATTGGCGAACACTCCCTTTAAAAATAAATTATATTATTGGCGAACACTCCCTTTAAAAATAAATTATATTATTGGCGAACACTCCCTTTAAAAATAAACTATATTATTGGCGAACACTCCCTTTAAAAATAAACTATACCTGAATACTAGTACAGCATGTACAGCATAGTGCACTACAACAGTCACCACAGCTAGATCCCTTTAAACAGAGATTTTATTAAATCTGTAAATATGTTTGAATATTATTAACGTCTAAACCAATCAGAACCAAGGATTTTGTAGGACCTTGCATGATTCTAGAGTTGTAAATACAGAAATTTTAGCAAAATTTCTATTCTTTAAAATCATAGTAATCCCCTAATGTGACACGAATTTGCGATTTTTTTAGTTATATCATGAGGACAAAATAGTGTCCTGGAGAGCAACATTTAAAAGTTAAAATCGTTGTTTAAAAAGTTAATAAATATAAATAAATATAAATATAATAATCTATATTTCTAAATAAATTAATTTCCTGCCTCAATTCCGTATTTAGTCCTAGCTTTCATACGCAGTAGACATATTGGTACACAGGGACCACAGAGTACACTAAATACACAAATTTTATTAAAATTCAACAAAATTTTGAGAAGTTTTACAAAAATCAAGACTGTTTATTCTAAACATGTGATTTTCTCGCACTACAGTCCTAATCAGAGTACACTAACTACACTAATTTTATTAAAATTCCACAACATTTTGAGGAGTTTTACAAAAATCAAGACTGTTTATTTCAAACATGTGGTTTTCTCGCACTTCAGTCCTTATCAGAGTACACTAAATACACTAATTTTATTAAAATTCCACAACATTTTGAGTAGTTTTACAAAAATCAAGACTGTTTATTCTAAACATGTGATTTTCTCGCACTACAGTCCTAATCAGAGTGACCCGGAATTAATTTATGATCTTATATCTTCTCCAAGATGGGATCTAGCGTCTTCAAAGTTACAAAAGTTGACCAAAATATTAGGCATTTTTTCTTAATGAATTGAAATCCAGAAAACAATTCTTTCTTTCTTTAAGCAACTTAAAGATAATAAAATACCAAATTTTTTAAATCTTGCAGACTGAAAGCTTCCAATTTAATAATTTTGACTTGAATATAACTTTTATTGTGTTCACGATAAAAAACCGCGAGGAACCTACCCTAGATATATACCTGAGAAGTCTGTAGAGGAACCTACCCTACATATGCACCTGAGAAGTCTGTAGAGGAACCTACCCTAGATGTGTACCTGAGTAGGCAATAGAGGAACCTACCGTAGATGTGTACCTGAGTAGGCAGTAGAGGAACCTACCCTAGATGTGTACCTGAGTAGGCAGTCGAGGAACCTACCCTAGATGTATTCCTGAGTAGGCAATAGAGGAATCTACCCTAGAAGTGTACCTGAGTAGGCAATAGAGGAAACCACTGTCATTCAAAGCATTGGCTGTTTCACAGGCCTGGAAACAGAGGCAACAGCTTCCGCACATACCTTTATTGTAATTATTCATATAATTATTATCTAAAAACAGCATGAACAGAAATCTATAATTGTCATTCATATGTACACAAATTTAATTCAAAATTCATGTTTTGAAAATTTGTGAATATTAATAAAAGGTCACTAACCAAAAATTGGAAAGAATTTTATAGAAAAAACTCACATGTTCCACAGTCATGGCAGCAGTTACAGAAACCAGTATGCCAGGTTCCACAGGTTTGAGGTGTAGGCTGCACCAGCTAAATATATGCTATCATAGATCCATGTTGATTTTTGAACATGATTGAATATATGTCGATTGTTGAACATGATTGAATATATGTCGACTGTTGAACATGTTGAATGTTGAACATGATTGATTGTATGGTGAATGTTGAAAACGATTGCATATATGTCGATTGTTATACATGATTAAATATATATGGTAAATGTATAACATGATTGAATATTTGGTGTGTTGAATATGATTGAATTTATGTTGATTGTTGAACATGATTGAATATATGTTGATTGTTGAACATGATTGAATATAAGTTCGTTGTTGAACATGATTGAAAATATGTCGATCGTTGAACATGATTGAATATATGTTGATTGTTGAACATGATTTGAATATATGTCGATTGTTGAACATGATTGAATATATATATATATTGATAATTGAACATGATTGAATATATATTGTGATTGTTGAACATGATTGAATGAATTATTGTGATTGTTGAACATGATTGAATATATATATATATTGATAATTGAACATGATTGAATATATTATTGTGATTGTTGGACATTATTGAATATATTTATATTGATAATTGAACATGATTGAATATATTATTGCAATTGTTGAACATGATTGAATATATATTGATTATTGAACATTAAATATAATGTTAATTGTTGAACATAATTGCAGTCGCTTACCCCCCTCAGAAGAGTACGGACCTCTCTTTTAGGAGTCCTGGCTTTACAGTTTGGGGAAGTGCTACGTTTAGTTGCCCATTTCATAGCCTGCAGGGAAGTAGCAAGCGTAATATAGGAGGGAAATAAAACAAGAACTCCATCTTCAGCCTGGTTCAGCTAAAAGAAGGAGTATAACCCCTGATGGGTATACACGCCATGCACAACAATACCATTTTTTTTCTTGACCAGCTGTGAGGACTAGACTGCTATGGAAGATTCCTCCTGATGAGGCTTTAAGGCTTACAACTCCCCATTTTGCATAACTGGTGCAGTTATGGGTTTCCTTGAATTTCCCTTAGGACAGAAAGACTATAACAGGAAGACTACAAACCTCCTTATTTCTCTCCTACCTGCTCCAGAACTTGAAGTCACAAGAACTATTTGGAGAAGCTTAAAACATAAAAACAATAAACAAGAAGAAAGAAGAAAATTGAACAGGAAAGTTAGAAATGAAAGTGTGTAGTAGCTGAGGCAAAGGGGGGTCAAAATTTGAACTGTACATTCGCTTTTTGGATACTTGAAAGGTACACATACAGCCCAATTATCTTGCAAACAAAACTAGCAGAAAAAACAGCAAACTATTTTTTTTATGCTCTTCACTCTTCAGTTTTATATTAAACCATTTTTAAACTAAAACCACTGAGATTAAGCTTCAAGCTAGGTGTGAAATTTTGAGAAACATTCACGTCCAGGACGATTATGGAATTCATTCGGAATAAACGTCTCTGTGAAGTATCTAACTGGGTTTTAAAAAGTTTATAATAGTTTCTTTTATGGATTTATCCAAGATTTCTATTTGAAAAGTTTCACTAAGAAGTGCAACGGACGGATTTCTTGCTATAAAACGAACGAACAAACACTTTTCTTAACATGTTTGAACAAGGTTTCCAGGGTACCGTTGTGAATCTGGTATATCCTTTATTTTAGTCACTTAATTATGCTGACGGTCCGTTTAGATGTAAAATAAATGGATACTTTATCAACACCCAGTATTATTTGGCTAAATTCAGAATTTAAGTTTACAATATTTTTTTTGTTTTAATTCTGATATGATAAGTGACTAATAGATATTCAGATACATTAAATTAAGTTTGTTTGTTTATTAATAAACACTTGCTTTAACGTAAAATAAAAGTTAGAGAAATTAGGATGTCGCAAAGTTGCACCAGAGTTGAATAAATTTCCTGTAGAGTGGAGTTAACAATACTTTATTCAAGAAAATACTTCCATAAATACTTCTCAATAATAATAATTTACAGACTGGGAAAAAGATTACATTAAATCAAACAAAATCCAAAATTGTAATTACAAGAGTATAATATATGAAAAAATAAACAAAACCAAACTTTTGAATATCAAAAATTCAGAAGAACAAAAATAGAGAGTTGTGAAGTGCTAATCTATTAGTATGTTTTTTTCTTAATGTGCACTTCCTCAGAATCAAGTTTTTTTTTAATATGGCAATCATCTTTGTTCTAAACCTGGTCTCCACGAGCACGGACCTCGTTCGCAACCTGGGAAAAGTACAATTACATAGTTTAACAAACCAAGTTAACTCAAGTCAGTTCAAAGTCAGTTTCAAGTCGGTTCCAGTTAGTTTCAATTCAGTTTCAAGTTAGTTTCAAGTTAGTTTCAAGTTGATTCCAGTCGGTCCTAGTTGGTCCAAGTCTGTCAAAGTCTGCGCAAGTCAGTTTCAAGCCAGTTCCAGTCTGTACCAGTCGGTCCAAGTCCGTCAAAGTCAAATGCAATGCAGTTGTAATTCAGTTGCAAGTCCGCTGCAAGTCAATTCAGTTAAGTCTTGGTTAGTCCAGGACAGCTCAAGTACGTACAAGTCTGGTCAAGTCAAATCAGCTCAGATCAATTCAAACTAAATAGAACTTAATTCTAAGTACATTGAATATTAAATAGTTTTGAATAAAAACATTTTAGTGTAATCTGCAATTGAAAGTCTCAGAGAATATAGAAAACTAATGTCGATTTATTTTATTTCCTTTAAAGTTTCTCTAAAAAGTAGTCCTTTAAAAATAAACTAAGTTTATTATTGGCGAACACTCCCTTTAAAAATGAATTATATTATTGGCGAACACTCCCTTTAAAAATAAATTATATTATTGGCGAACACTCCCTTTAAAAATAAATTATATTATTGGCGAACACTCCCTTTAAAAATAAACTATATTATTGGCGAACACTCCCTTTAAAAATAAACTATACCTGAATACTAGTACAGCATGTACAGCATAGTGCACTACAACAGTCACCACAGCTAGATCCCTTTAAACAGAGATTTTATTAAATCTGTAAATATGTTTGAATATTATTAACGTCTAAACCAATCAGAACCAAGGATTTTGTAGGACCTTGCATGATTCTAGAGTTGTAAATACAGAAATTTTAGCAAAATTTCTATTCTTTAAAATCATAGTAATCCCCTAATGTGACACGAATTTGCGATTTTTTTAGTTATATCATGAGGACAAAATAGTGTCCTGGAGAGCAACATTTAAAAGTTAAAATCGTTGTTTAAAAAGTTAATAAATATAAATAAATATAAATATAATAATCTATATTTCTAAATAAATTAATTTCCTGCCTNTGAATTATTGTGATTGTTGAACATGATTGAATATATATATATATTGATAATTGAACATGATTGAATATATTATTGTGATTGTTGGACATTATTGAATATATTTATATTGATAATTGAACATGATTGAATATATTATTGCAATTGTTGAACATGATTGAATATATATTGATTATTGAACATTAAATATAATGTTAATTGTTGAACATAATTGCAGTCGCTTACCCCCCTCAGAAGAGTACGGACCTCTCTTTTAGGAGTCCTGGCTTTACAGTTTGGGGAAGTGCTACGTTTAGTTGCCCATTTCATAGCCTGCAGGGAAGTAGCAAGCGTAATATAGGAGGGAAATAAAACAAGAACTCCATCTTCAGCCTGGTTCAGCTAAAAGAAGGAGTATAACCCCTGATGGGTATACACGCCATGCACAACAATACCATTTTTTTTCTTGACCAGCTGTGAGGACTAGACTGCTATGGAAGATTCCTCCTGATGAGGCTTTAAGGCTTACAACTCCCCATTTTGCATAACTGGTGCAGTTATGGGTTTCCTTGAATTTCCCTTAGGACAGAAAGACTATAACAGGAAGACTACAAACCTCCTTATTTCTCTCCTACCTGCTCCAGAACTTGAAGTCACAAGAACTATTTGGAGAAGCTTAAAACATAAAAACAATAAACAAGAAGAAAGAAGAAAATTGAACAGGAAAGTTAGAAATGAAAGTGTGTAGTAGCTGAGGCAAATAATAAGGGGAGAGGGGAGTGAGTTGCTCATTCTCACCTCCCCCCCTGCCCCCAAGTTCAGAAAGTTCATACAGATAGTTCTAAACTAGGAGTTGGCAAACTGTGAGGATATCTAAAAAAAATTTCTTTTCTTCAAAATTAGCCGAAATATTATTGTATCATTTATGAAATATAAGAAAAGAAGAAAGGAAGAACAAGGAATATAGAAATGTCAAAATGTCTACATCTGCTGAAATATAACTATTAAAATAATGTTAAAATTTAAATTAATATGTAAGGTAAGGTAAGCTAAGGGAAAGATCGAAAAACCCCTCGTCCAGAGAGATCAGACTAGGGTTTCCATTTGTCCGGAAAAAAAATTCCATTTTGAAAATTGAATGATCCGGAAATTTGTTGCGTAAACCGGAGTTCCGGGTTAATTCAGGAACAAATGGAAACTGGAAATTTTACGGCTTAGGTTACGTAAACCGGAAATTTTTCCGGTATACAGAATGGAAATTGTAAAATTTCCAGTTTCCATTTTGTGAACCGGAATTTTTTTTTACAGTTTTCATTACCTCTGCAATATTTTTTAACAAATTAGTTTTTATTTTTCAAGAGGGTCATCGGTTAGGCTTAAGAACCCCCCCCCCCCCACTCCATATTTAATCAGGATGGGATGAAATTTTTAGATTCATTACATTCGCAAATAATCAATGCCACCCTTTTGCAATTTAAAAATCAATGCAACCCTGTTGAGTCCGAACGCTAATTTCTGTTGAATCCAAACTCTAATTCTTGAAATAGTGTGGATATACAACTATCGTTCACGTTTTTCTCGAATTGTCTTTCTTCGGTCAACACAGAGCTTGTTTGTACTTATTTAATAAAATATCTCACCTCTCGGATATTCGTTAAAAGTTAATTTGCTTAGAATCAAAATCTTATAGCTCTGGACAGCTAGTCCTTTATGTAAGTACTCAATAAGGTTGAATTTGTTTTCTTTCTAGATCTTTTCCTTCGGTTTTAGTTTGGCGAATTCCTCTTTCTCTTTTTCTTTCTAGTTAGAAAATAAATCCAACCTAAAACCGAATCTGCATGTTCATTTTTCGTATATAGTTCGTAGTTTGTGTGTCTTTCTCTTTGTGACTAACATTGTTTGAAATTCGCGTAAATGTTTATTTGCAAATCAACGAATATTAATTTTTTGCGAAGTAAAAGTCAGCTAAAAACGTAGCAAAAAATGAACCATATAAATAAGAGTTTATAAAAACTAGGCTTTAAACTGAGCTGAAAACTTTAGAATGGATAAACTTTAATCCTGACTTCTTGATCCGAATATCCACTGTGGAAACTTTTCATTTTAGTCCTTAATCCACTAATTTTTCTCTCTCCTTGGATATCCGTTAATTGTTTTCTCCAATGAGAATATTTCTGTTCTCTCTTTGGTTGCCCGCTTTTCTCTGATTGGCTGCTACAGTTTCTCAGATGATTAAATATTAATTTGAATTTTATTGTTTTTCATACACTTTTAAGATAATCTTGCAAGATTATGTTAATCTGGAGATTAAGAAAAAGAGTGGATTAAGCCTTAATCCCGATATCCACCAATCAAAAGTTCCCAGCTCTGGTGAATTAAAAAAATAATAAATTTCAAGTTTTATTCCAGCATAAATTTATAACTAGTTATAACTTTCCCTTGGGCCATGTGAGTTGCCTCACAATTGTTGGACTTGGTCGGTTCAGCTGTTTGGACATTTATTGGATACAAACGGACAAACAAACAGACAAGCAAAGTATATAAATAGAGTGAGAACCAGAAAACTCTGGAATAGGAGGACAACTTTTAGACTTAAATTATGACTCTTAAATAGTTTAATGAACATGAGACACGTCATTTACATAGTATATAATATACTGTATACAGACCAATCTAAAAGTGATTTTATAAGTTACTATTTAACCTATTAGCTTTGAAACAACATCTATTAGAATCAAGGATTGCTATACATGTCGTCTTCCTTTCCACAGTTTTCTGTAGATGAAATTATTTTTTGACATGGCAGTAAGGATTTATATTATTTCATGATAATTCAATACTTTAAATACAGCTACAACAGGCGCACATTCTATTATTCTGTAGATAGTATTACTTACTGGTTTTATCTTTTACATAAGTAGATGTCTTCAACGTTTTCCGGAACCTTTTTCCGGAAAATTCTGGAACAATTGTTCCGTAAACAGGAATTTTCAGGAACACTATTACATATCGCTCCGTAATTCCAGAACAACGTCACGGAAATTTCTGGTTTACGGAAAAAATTGTTCCAGAAATCTTTCCAGAATTCTGGATTTCCGGAACCTTTTCCATAATGGAAATGGAAAAATTTTCAGGATCATTTCCGTACGTAAACCGTAACCCGGAATTCCAGTGGAAACCCTAGTCCAGACTGCCATCAGAGCTAACTCTACTGAGCTCCGGGATATATATATATATAATTGCATATATGATTGCATAAAAGCATGAAACAATTTGTTTATGAATAAAATGTTATAAGAAGATTGTTGCGTTTCAACTGATATATATATATATATATATATATATTGAACATGATTGAATATATAATTGTGATTGTTGAACTTGATTGATTATAATGTTAATTGTTGAATATGATTGAATATATATAGATTGTTGAACATGATCGAATATATATTGAATATTGAACATGATTTAATAAATGTTTATTGGTGAACAATAACATATATTTACCTGTACTCTACTCCTAGTGGACTCCCCAGCATAATGAACCGTCATATCCTCTTGTTTTGAGGGACTCAGTTGATGACTCTCCATTCTTATATTACAATACTATCTATCTATACAAATAAAATAGACATTTTAGTTCTGAACCAGGTTTATGGAAAGATTTGGTTTTCAGGATTTCATCCAATTTGTCCCGTATCCAGAGCAAAAGAAACTTGTAATATCCTAGTATACAATTTTTTATCCCTTCCCCCCCCCCCTCTTTGATCAATTTTGTGCATACATCTCATATCACACCATGCTGCAAAATTTTAAGTTAAAATAATTATCCTATAGGTTCTGACGACAGTAATCCCAGGTAACTACCCAGCTATCTCACCAAATCTGAAAACTTATCTTATCAAGCAATGTTGATTCTTTGAAATCATTATTTTCTCAAAATTCAAAATATTGATTAACTGTCATATCTACAGTTCCTAGCAAGCTATAGATAAGAAAAACAAATATTTATAGAATTCTCAAATCAAAGTAAAGCATTTTTTTCAAACCTCTTAGATGTGAACACTTTTTTGGGACTCAATCAAACCATATGAACTTTTCAAACTAAAATGTATGTCATCAGTGTAAAGGTCAGAGACTAGATCTACTCGAGAGCAATTATATATTTGCGTCCAATGTGTGTAAAGTATAAAGAGGAAGTTGGCAGGAACTGTTCAACTTTTACCTAAACATGAACACCTTATAACTGTCTTAATTCTGTTAGATCTGCTGTAGTCCTCAACCATCTAGAATAACTTGAAACAAGATAATAGATAATACTCTGGATAAACCAATAGAAGACTGAGCTGGGAAATTTGGAATAGTGGATAGCGGGATTAATGCTTGATCCACTCTTTTTCTGAATCTCCAGATTAAATATTGCTTGTTCTCCTCATGAATTTAATCTCCAGATTAATTAACAGATAGGGATTAAGGATATCACATTCTAAAGTTTTTAGCTCTGGTTAGACAGAATGTGTGAGTTCGGTGAATTCGGAGACGAGTACTGTCTGCAAATGTTTTAAACTTTATTAACTTTATCAGTTCTTACCCTTCACCGTGACAAGACGTGAGTGTGTGTGTGTGCGCTCGGTCATCTGGCACTAATTATCTATAAGTTCATGTATAGATAGTTCAGTCAACAATTTATACAGGGTGTATAAAATGGCTGGTAGGAAAAATGCAAACCATGAAAAACCTCCAAGGGCTACTAACTCCAAGGAAAA